ATCTCTGACATGATAATCCTATAAACCCTCTAGTTCTAATTTCTACGGGAACCGATATTGTGCTTTTCTTAACACCTACTGTTCTTCTATACCAGACACTTGCCAATTAACCTTCAGATCAAAACCTAAAATACCAGAAATGCAACATGCTTCTGAGGTGCTGGGGGCTGTCGGTTGTTAAAATCCATTGTTGACTACTGTACATGTAGTCCTTGCTTTTATGACCAGAGTGAATCGCTTCTGTACAAAACCAAGGTGCTTGAAGCACAGAAACTTGAACTTCTCCATCCGACACATTCTGGAAGCCTCAAGGCACAAGCTGACAGTGTACTTCTACAGAAAACTCTCACGCTGTTCTTGCAACAGTACTACCTGTTCCCACTACGGCACACGATACCAGAAGGGCACCAGATATCAGGGGGAAGCTTCTTCTCGAGGCCAGGTAAGAGGAGGCACCACTCAAGCCCCTGTCTCTGCTTGGCCTCTACTCTGATGGCCATCTGGCAGAGTCCCTAAATTAAGGCAGTATCTGATGCTTTGTATCTCAAGTTTTAATTTTTGCTGTATCTTCACACTATACTATACGCATATTTGACAAAAGAAAAGCTACAAAGTCCTCCACTTGAATTCCTTTACATAATGATAAAACACCTAGATACAAAAATACCACACCTACAAACTTAAGTTCTACTAATCATGTTAAAATGCATGCAGCGTATTTCGGGGCTTAGTCTAATTTTAATTTACTTAGCTCCATCAAGACCATGGTAATGAACATTAAACGCAAATCCTAATGCCATCTCCTTTAAGATGCACTTTCACAGGACTAGTGTGATTCAGAAATAAATAACATACATGAATAATAACAGAAATAATTTACGCAAATGCAGAACAACTTGAAATAGAAATTCCCCACCTTGTTAAGTGCTGATTCTAGGTGTCGTTGCTGCTATTTATTCCATGTACTAACTAATATATTTATTACTGGTCATAGGAAAACACATGACTACAAAGTTAAGTGAGGAACTCTAATATTCACGTATACATTGTTGCAAACACAGGACCAAGATGACAAGCTATATAATGCACCTGGGGCAGAGGGTGGTTCAAGAAATGTATTACTGCTGGGATTTATTTTAATTATTCAGAGACTTCTAGGTTAAATCAAGAGTTGCTGGTGATCACAGAAATATTGCTGACTAATACATATTATTGCATCTCAATTACTTAAGAGTAGAAAACTTCAAGTTAAGGGTACAAAGGGTATCTTCAGGACCGTAACCTAAGCATGTCAACAGAATTTGGCCAGAAACCACAGAGCGTTAGAAATTAAATGAACTGTGTGGGGCTCTATGCTTGCTCATTAGTGCTACGGTCACAGTTCTTTATAGCAATATGTACAGTTATGTGCCCCCTTTAAGGAAACCTGTATGTGACAATTCAAACTCCTCAAGTAGAGAAGGGGTTGATTATTTGCTTGACAAAACAATTCACACAAAAGTTTCCTCCAAACAGGAAAATCCCCTACACTACATGAGATAATTTGCTTACATACCTTTAACTATTCGACAAAAACAAAAGAAGAAATCAGAAACGAAAGAGTTAGGAGCTTTTGCCTAAGCAGAAAATAAACACATTTTCAAAACAAAACTCTTCCACGCATTATCTTTTGCCATCGTATATGTAGAATGATAGAAAATAAAAAAATAAAAAATCTTTCCTGTAATTATACATCTTCTCTTTAAAACAAACAACAAAAAAAAGCTGAGCTTAGAGCTTGAGAGATGCCTGGTAGACGCTTCATACAGACCAGCATCTCTTTATACCCGAACTTTCGAAGAATTGTGTTGTACTTACTTATGCACAGAAGACACCCGTTTGCTTCTAGGGGCATTCTATTTCCTAAGACGGCAGAACAGGTGCTTCTGAAACAGCAGCAGGGCACATGGACCTCGGACAGTAGCCCTCCGGGTCTGTACGTCATCTCAGGCACTAACAGGTGAGCGGCGAGCGGGACCCAGCCAGCTCCGCCCACTGCCTCTCTGCGGCCAAAGGGGCGGAGTGACGGCGCAGCGCTCCCAGAGGGTTTTCAGGTGGGCGTCAAGTGTTCACCGCGAGCAAATAGAGTTCAGACTGGCCCAACTGATAACAGACTCGAGGTTGGAATTCGGCCTTTCATTTAGGGGCTTAAATTGGAATCTACTTCGGTGGGATTCTGAGCACAGGGACGAGGCTGGGTTCCCGAAGAGCTTTTGACAGCCCCTAGGGTGACAGCCCCATTTTGATTCAGTATGAATTAGTGAGACTCGCCTGTCCGCTACTCTGCAGGAAAGTTAGGCAGGCAGGATTGAGTTTCTGCCACTCAGAAGGAATAAACTGCTTTCTGTTATGCCGTGCTAATAAGGAAACTCTGAAAAGTACTAGTTCCTTCCTCCCAAATTTCTGTGACACTTATTGAGGAAAATGATTTCTAAAATTAACTAAAATCATCTGGGGGTAATGCGTCTCTGAGCAGACCTGTGAATTAAAACATAGGAGTGTGTGTGTGTGTGTGTGTGTGTGTGTGTGTGTGTGTATATATATATGTGTGTGTGTGTATATATATATATATATATGTATATACACACACACACACACATATATATGTAGTTGCCAAAGAATTTCACTAATGGAGAAATTAAAGATTTATGTAAATATATTCCTAGGTTATTATGCTCACATGCTTGGACAGGACTTTTAAAAAATTAGAATTTCTTGTGAATTTACACTTGTGATTACATAAATGTAAAAAAAAAATTACCAGGTCTTTTAGCATTTAAGGGCTGTATTTCAGCATGGCAATTCTTTAGAAAAAAATAGTTTTGTGTACTTACATACTGATGTTACTTCTTTGCTTATCTGATCTTTAAATTAGGATTTAAAATTTTAATCAGTGTTTAAAGACCATCATGGTAGGAAATATGAGAACAGCAGACAGTGGGCATAGGTATTTTTGGCTGAGGCCACTGGAGGAGTTTTACATTCCTCACAGATGAGAGTTGCCTTTTAGCTAATAAGCCTGTACATCCTTGTAACTTCTGCACCTATAAAAGTAAGGTAATTAAATACCTTAAAAAAATGCTTCTTGAAAAAATGGATGATTAGGCTCTCTTGATGCACTTAAATGATCAAAATGGGTATATTATCCATTATCAAGAACAACTTCCCTGCAGATCATCATTCAGAACCTAGCTAACAACTAAAATATTTAAGTTATAGAATGTTACGAACACTGTTCATCATCCTGACAAACAAGTGCTAAGCAAGAGTAAAATATGTGCAGAAAAACAAAGTTAGAATGCAGTTTTTAGAAGTACCTCTTTAGCTTTGCTCAGATTTCCCCCTCCCTAGCCCCCACCCCCACCCCCACCCCCAGGCCCCCCACCCCAAAGTGCTACCTTGTGGAAAATACTGGAATAAAAGAAGAAAGCCCATGTCTTAGGACAGTGTGAATTTTAAAATAGAGGTTTCCAAGAAAAATCATCTCACTTTCCTACCATATAACCTTCAAACTGCTGTAACAATATTTAAATAGATGATTGAAAAAAGCCTGTATTAGTTTTCAAGGGGCTCTTGTTTTCTTCTTGACAGCCAGAGCACCAGTATCAAGGAAACATAAATATGTTGATGGAAGTTCATTCATTTATCTCAACTCCCTGGGAATGCTAAGAAACAAAACATTTTGAAGAGCTGATTCATACGTCATTAAAACAAACAAACAAACTGAGGAAAAAAAACATTTAAAAAATCAGACCCCTCCTCTTTCTACATTTCTGTTGTTTACAAAGGTCAGAAGATAGAAAAGGCCAAAGGAATATTGTGGCTTATTTTCTGAAAAAGTACAAGTCAGAAATGCTTGAGATATAGGTATGTAACACAACTAGGTTGAAAATTGCATTAATAAGAAATGAAAATGCTATTTTCGTATGCTTTTTAAGAGAACACCACTACTAATTACCTGGGGACTTCTATTGCGTGATAGGCTTTTGCAGTCTCAGTAAGTTTTTCTACTGTGGAAACATGTAGCTATCTTCCATATCATACATCTGAATGTATCAAGTGCATATGATCAAGGATTTGGGTTTTACCAGTTTTCAAAAAATCTTGGTGGCACAGGAAATATGTGCCTTTTTAAAATTTATTATTATTATTATTTACAGTGAACATTCTTAGGCTTGCATAACAAGCGTTAGTTTCACATGGCTGCTTCTTCCCACGAAGTAAGGAGTATGGTAGTTTGCTCAGGTCACCCTTTGAAATGGTAACTGCTTGGAAAGGCTTTTCCATAAAACATGTTTTGGAACGTTATCAACTTCCTAGTTGCTGGATGACTTTAATAGAAATTCTTACAATATATTTGCTAATAAATATTTATCTTTCAAAATATATCTAACTTTGAAACTATCCTTCTTTGAATACCTTCATTTTCTCTAGAATTTCCTCTATCCATTGTCCATTATTTTATGCCTTTTAAAGATTTAGAAATCATGCTACCATCTTTATTTTTTAAAATAAAGACACTGTTTTTATGTGTCACAATGTAAAACATGCATTCTTTTGAATTCTGTCAATACCTAAGAACTTATAATGTCTCAACATTTACTTTCCAAGGTGAATATTCTATAGTTACTGTACTAACACAATTAAGTAATTACAGCAGCTTATTAACTTTTAATATTACTCTTTCCTAGACCTGACTATGCAACAAAAGCCTGCTTTTGGAAAATGTGAGACACTCTCTTCTGCACTTATCATAAAAATAGCCAAGTTGTCACTTAAAAGCAATTATTTGGAAAGAAGAATTTTAATATGTTTGTGATATTAGGAAGCTTACATGATTTTAATTTCCATAATGGCATGAGGACTGCCATTACTGACCTAAGAGGCATATAGTTAAAAGCTCAATTTAAATACATAATTTAAGATTCAAAATATTTGGTACTATTTGGTTGTTCCCCCCCCCCCCCCCATCAAGATGGACAGTACCGTGTTCTGGAGTCAAGTGATAAATTTCTATTGAGAGGTGTACATTTTCTTTAAGATATTAACATCCCGTGCATTCTGAAATTTTCATTTTTACTTAAAACTAAATGGCTGAGATTCTATTCTTAGGTAAATATTTTGAACTATTTTTATTTTAGTAAGACACCTTGGGCTAAATGAAAAGTATGCCATTCCTAGTGTGTGATTCCTGAGAGAAAATCATGAGAATACAGAGGGATGAAATGGCTCCGACGTCTTGTTTAAAACAGGTTCTCTGTTTCTTGGGTTCTTATCTGCTTTCAAGGAGAGACAAAGTGGGAGGTGCCAATGCACTGGGTATTGTGTTTTTAAGTTTGTAAGATTAGGGCTTTATTACCTTTGCCACATGATAGCTTATGATGCTGAAATGGACAGGTTTCTCTCTTATTCTTAAAGGGGATTGTTACAACTTCACGATTCACTATGGTTCCCACAATGCCTGGGCCCTAAGAGAACAATTATCATATAGAAACTATCAGGCACATTCTAGCACCAGCCCTCAAATGTGAATATAAATGTGATTTTGAATCTGACACCGTATTTTTATTGATATAAGCTGCTTCAGTATATCCCTGGGGCAGTATGACTTTTTTAGCTGACCACTGCTTGGCTTTTGGCAAAGATGTTTGAAACCATATGTCACAGAAGAATAAGCTGTATTCAGTAAATTCCTATGCTGCTACATGCTTCAAAGTGCCCTAATGGGAAGGGTGCTCGTGTGGCATCTGGATTTCAGAACTGGTGAGCCTGGATGTAAAAGACATAAAACGAGGGTAATTACTCAACTGCAAGAACCACACAGATGGAAGAGCTGGGGTCAGAGAGGCCAGATACCCTCTCCTTCTGCCTCTCAGGAGATAATCTGCCAAGCATCTAATGAATCTCATGCCAAAATGTTTGTGCTTTAAGTTTTCTTCATAAACACTACTGAGAAATGAACCAAAAGTATATGCTAGAAATAAAGTGGAGCTCTCTCCTTGTTTAGAATTCCCAAGAATGCTGAAAAATTCCAGTTCAGAACGGCTGCATTTTTTTTGAGAGAACTTATGAAAACCTGAAAAAAGCAGAAACTCAACTTATGTTCACTCTAGCCATGGACACTAACCAGAAAGCGCATGATGAAATCAGTACTTATATTGAGTTTTAAAATTGAATTTCTAGGGCCCAGCAAAAAATGTCTTCAAAGGAAAGGCAGAAATCACTTTTCCAGGGGAGACATTGCCCCGACTGCTGTGGATTCATTATATCTCAAGCATTTACAGTGATGACAAAACATAAGCAATATTGTCAACAAGGAAGAAAGCATCAAACATTCTTGTGGCCCATCTTCTCATTCATATCTAGCTTTAGACCAATTTTCCTGCTCTTCAAGTTACTGAATTAGAAAAATGTTAAACAGTATACATATTAAAAAAAGAGTAATTTCCAACTCAAAAAGCTTTCAAGGAGAAAAGTCTTAATTTTTCCCTTATTCATCATGGTAGTATAGAATATTAAGCTGTGAAGAATTCAGTAAGGCTAGACAATATATAAACATCAACTGGAACATTTTCTACTGAGTGAAGCAATGTTCATTCTTTGACAACCCTAACTCTAAACATAGCCTATCTGTTGCATGTACTCAAAACATGAGTCAGAGAGCAAAGACAGCTAAACTTCCAAAAGGATACTTCATCTCTGTGTCTTCGGGTTACTTGAGCTAACTGAGCACTAACCACACATAAGGCAGAGATGATGACATGAAATATAAAGAACGGTAGAGGAAATGGCGAGAGAAAAAGTAAAGCTGTTCACAATGCCCAGGTCAGGCTGGCTCTGCACGGAGAGGGAGTATGCACAGGCACTAGAAATAAGCACAGCCTGGGAGATGGAGAAAAGATCATTTTATAGGGTAAATATATACGTCTAAAAAAAAATAGTTAAAGACATTCTCTCCGATTCTACACGGACATCTTCTAAAAAAATTGTAAAACACTAAGTAACAGTTTAAGGCAATCTATGTGCTGGTGATAGAGAAGAGCCAATCCTCCACTCACTGCCTAGGGAACAACAACAAATGCTGGGTGGGAAGATCACACTGGAGTGAGAGCCTAGGGGACCCTGTTAGGGCTGAAAAATTGGATCCATTAAGCCACAATCTGAATCTAACTATTTACAAAAGGTTCACTGAAAGAAAGCAAGCAGGAGGTGCATGGGAACGGCTTAAACAATCTGTTATTAGTTATGTAATGGTAGTAATATATACTAGAGGCCCTAGGAGATAAGATGGAAACTCTGCAAACAAGGCAGTGCATGGCAGAAAAAGTACAGTGTAATAGGGAAAACTTAAATGGTATTCCTGTCTCGTCAGAGAAAGCTATTCTCTGAGCCAAAACAGGAAACAGTTTCTGACAAATTCCAAAAATCAAAAAAACAAAATAAAGTAACAACAGAATCCAAAAAGGAAACATTTCAAATCAGGAAATAAACGCTTTCTCTAATTGTTTTTTTTTTTTTTGACCATTTTACCTATTTGAGGTACACTCCCTAAATCTATAGCAAGTAAGAAAAAGCTAATAGGGTGTTTTTCAAAAGAAATAACAAAGCATATAATACAGGTTAAAATGGGCTTACAGTGAGTAATTTTCAGCTTTTATCAAGAGTAAATAGAATGTATGCTTTAAGAAACAGGTCTCTTAAAAGCTACTAGCATTTTTTTTCCTTTTGTTGTGTGTATAAAACTTCAGCTAGATAGTGAATGTTTTACTTCTAACAAATTTACTGTTTTTGGCCATAAAAGAAATTCTGAGGACATAGGTTCAACTGTGTAATTTGAGAAGCCCATTCTGGTAAATCACCTTTAGTCAATAGACACCTGTTATTTATAGGTCACTTTGAGTCTTTAAAATTCAATTATTCTTGTTGTTTACAGAAAGTAACACTTTGAGAAATCAAGAATCTCACGCACACACATACGCACGCATGCATGCACATGCACACGCGCGTGCACACTCTCACTCAAAAGTACCAAAGCAGGCTCAGGCAGCTGCAGAGAGATTACATCATAACTCAGCTGTGCCTGGATTGCTCACTCCACACTGGCAGCATTCAAGATTAGAAAAATGAAATGGCAGCACAATTGGTCAGCAGCTTCTCTTCTGGAATTTTTCCAGGTTCTTGAAACAAACAAACAAACAGACAAACAAACAAACAAACGAATGAACATAAAGCTGCAATCGCTCTTGCATTGATTTCAAAACAGTAAACTAGGCGGTTTCCATGGAGAAGCAGAGCCCGTCCAGACGACGGCAACTAGAAGGTCCCCAGCCAGTGATCCTCAGTGGCTCTGCGGGGCTTACTCAGGGGGGGGCCCATCAGCCCCCAGGGGTTCTCCCGGTGATCAGCTCAAGATGGCCGTCGGGACCTCAGGCTGTATTCATCTCTGAGCTGTTCTGGCTGGGAGGCAGACGGGAATCCAGATTCTCCTTGCACCTCTCCAGATCATGGAAGTAGGGGTGAGACAGGGCACTGTAGGCAGATATTCTTTTGGCCGGATTAAAGGTTAGGCACTTCTGTGATAAAGAAAAAAAATAACTGACATAAAACATGTCCATTTAAATAATGTGTTTACACAGTTATACATTTGTTCACTGCCATGAATTAAGTGTGTCTAGAATCAGAATGAGTATCTACTTCATGGGACACTAAATAAAATGTAGACAGTAGCCATCTTTTATATGTCCTCAATGTATAAACTGCCCTTCAGGAAAAAGCAATAGCTTTTGGGTTGCCTGTGTACTTTTACCTCCCCAGGCTTTCTCTTCTACCTATCCCAGGTTCTTTAAAAGATATTATTAGTATTATCAGAGTATGTATATAATTTTATTTAGGTAGTGATTTTTCTTTCTCTAAGTTTAATTAATTTTGAGATAGAGGGAACACAAGAAGAGGAGGGGCAAACAGAGAGGGGGACAGAGGACCCAAAGCGGGCTCTGTGCTGACAGCAGAGAGCCCGATGAGGGGGCGACCTGAGCCAATGTTGGACGCTTAACTGACTGAGCCACCCAGGAACCCCTAGGTAGTGATTTTTCTTTTTTTAAAAAATTTTTTTTCAACGTTTTTTATTTATTTTTGGGACAGAGAGAGACAGAGCTTATTTTTGGGGGAGGGGCAGAGAGAGAGGGAGACACAGAATCGGAAACAGGCTCCAGGCTCCGAGCCGTCAGCCCAGAGCCTGACGCGGGGCTCGAACTCACGGACCGCGAGATCGTGACCTGGCTGAAGTCGGACGCTTAACCGACTGCGCCACCCAGGCGCCCCTAGGTAGTGATTTTTCTAATGCTAGAAAACTTAGTGCTGTAGTCAGAGATGTCACCCTAACTTTTTACTCTTCCCCAAGGTTTGTTGAGGAGTCAGGAATGGAATGGAGTTGTCTTGTTTAGGGGTAAGAGGGTAATTATTAAACTACAGTAACAATTTCTGACATATTTTTTTTTCAACGTTTATTTATTTTTGAGAGACAGAGAGAGACAGAGCATAAGTGGGGGAGGGGCAGAGAGAGAGGGAGACACAATCTGAAGCAGGCTCCAGGCTCGGAGCTGTCAGCACAGAGCCCGACGCGGGGCTCAAACTCACGAACTGGGAGATCATGACCTGAGCTGAAGTCGGATGCTTCACCAACTGAGCTACCCAGGTGCCTTTGTTTCTGACATATATCTAATATCAAAAGCAAAACAAAATAACAAGAAAACAAAAAAAAGGAAATACATTTTAAAGCAGGAAATAAAGGTTTTCTCTATTAAGGAGGGCAAGTAAGGGCTAAAACCTAGGCCCAACTTACCCTGACCTGCTAGCAAGTTGTGCACTCTGGCCCAGGGCTGCACCATCCAGAGGAAATGATTCCTTCCTCTGGTGCACGTCTAGGTGCCTCATGGGCAGCAGCAATGTCCATTAGGTTCAGCTCTGGTACTAAACTCTATTCCAGGCTGTCAACTCAAGTGTAGGTAGAAGGTGAAAGGGCTGGCGGCGGGGGGAGGGGGAAGGTGAACCTCTGGGGCAGCAATCTCCATTCTCAAACTGACGATTCATAATCAATTAGACAGAATGCTTCCCTAATCTTAGTTCCATTTCCACGCCAACCCCAGGTAATCCTGTTCTTCACATCCTCCTCCTGTCCTTCCACCAACACCTCCAGAGTGACTAGCAGGTGGTAAGCACTAGTGGAGGATGAGTAAGACCCATCCATTGCCCAGGAACACACAAGTAGGAGAGAAACTCTACCAGCTTCTCCATCTTTGTGATGCAGTGCCCACTTAAGTGAGCTGGGTATCTGACACGTCTATGAATTTCAGTCCTCTATGTAATCTGAAGACTTAACATTATCATGGTTATGCTGACTTCCATTTAATCTGGGTTTTTGCCCTCAAGGACCTCAAAGTCTCCATCAGATCTTGACGATTACGGACCCTTTAACACTCTGTTGAATGCTACTGACCTAGAAAAACACTCACAAATAGAAAACTCTATATATAATTCCAGGCAAATTTGGGTCCCCTGAAATCTTATTTATCCTGAACTCCCCACCAGTCCATAGATGCCAGTTTCTCATAGTGTCTCCTGAAAACCAAAGAGCCAAAGGGCAAGCAGATGAGGGAGCTTGGTGGCAGAATGGTTCTACTGTCCCTAACAGCAATAAACATTGCGAGAAAAGCTTTGCATGGGCTGAATTCTGTAAGGACAGAAGAGCAGGGGCAGAACTCTTAAGCCTGGGTTCTCTCTTCCCAGAGTCTAGGAAGGAGAAAATTAGGTAGCGGCATTAGAGAAAGCAGCAGCCAATGTAATCCCTAGGACATAGGAAAGAAGAAAAAAAAAATGTTGTGGGAATATGTTCAAGATAGAGAGACATGTCCCTAGAGGACTGTCTCGGAGGAAGCCTGTCCCCACAGCTATCTTGATGGCTTAGAGCTGGGAAGACGGTGGAGAGAAGGAGAAATCCTTAGCCTAATGTGGAAGTGTGTGAGAATCTCCAGTTGGAAGTCTTAATCCTTTATGTTCTACAGAACATAGAAATGGTGGCTAAGTTCTATCATTGCTCTATTTCAACAGAGCAATTTGGATGACTTGAGAATTAATCCAAAATCTTACGTAAGAATATTATTTCTCTAAGAAAATCTAATTTACTTGCCAAATAACTGTCTTATAAAATGAGCTTCTGGGATTTCTATTTAGTCAAGGGTTGAATACTATGATGGACTGGATCATTTTTCAGCACGTATCCTCCTTCTTCCCACCCTTCCTTCATGGGAGGAGTGTTCTTCCCTCTATTAGAGTTGGCCTTGACCACGTAACTTGCTTTGGCCAATGGAATGTGGACAGAAGTAGCAGGGTACCTCTTCCAAGCCTAGGCCTTCAGGGGCATCATGTGTTTCTGCTTGCCTTTCTGGGAGTATCATAACATCTGTTATGAGAAAAACAGGCCTTGGGGAGCCAAAGCCCCTCTTGTTCTGGGCCCTAGAATGAGACACATGGAGAAGACCTGTACTTGACCCATAGCTGAAGCAGAGCTGTCTATCCATCTGCAGACCCATGAGCAAGAAATAAATGTTTACTGTTGTACGCTAGTGAGATTTCTGGGGGGTTGTTGGTTATGCAGCAAAAGTAGACTAATCCAAGGACCGTCCCCTCCGCCAGCCCCCACAAATATATACCTTAGGCCCTGAAAGCAATTAGACACAGAAACTCTAAAACTTTTTTCGGCAAGAGAATAAGTACTCGGCCTCTCCAGTTAACCATGATGGAGGGGACAAAACTTGTAAAGATGGGTAGGTTCTGGTTGTTAAAAAATAATTTTTCCTCTGAATGGTCTTATTACTATGCCCAACTTACATATGTATGTGAGAGCATTTATAAATGTCAATGCATATATCCATTCATACATGGCTGAGCATTATATAGTCAGCCTTTATTTCAGCCTTTATTTCAGTGCCTATCTGGTACTGAACAGCCTGCTTTCTTCTGCATTATAATAGTTCTACCTTCTGTCCCTCTAGCATGAAACAGTGAGAGCTTTCAGGGGGTTCTAGGCTTTCAAGTCTTGGGCTATCCTTTCCCTGAATGCCCTCGGATTACTATGTTTTGTCCTTAAGTTGCTTCTAGTCCTGAGGTCACTGGATCTGCTTCTTATTCCCTTCCTTTGCTTTTTCTAATCTCTGTTGACACTCCTTGTCCACCCTCTTCCTTCTCCCTTCGGTAGTTTCTTTGTTCCTTTTTCTTCTTTGTTTCCTGCTACTTCTCTAGTCCAGCACTAGTGTGTGGTCTGACTTTGAAAGCCAGCACCACCAGTGGAGACACCAAATGAATGAGCATGTGGCACTGTCTGCTAGCTTTACATTTTAAGTTCCTTTTGGTGATTCCTAATGATGTTGAGAGACTCTGAGTTGTCTTTGGATGTCCCAGTAGCTGAAGAAGTGGAATACTTCACTACTAAAGTTGCTTATCATTGTGACTGACTGTCCAGAATCTTCTAAGAGGAGCATTTCACTCAGAGTTCTTGCTGAAAAGGAAAGCCTATGGTGGCCATATTTATAACACATCATCCCTCCCTCCCTCCTAGCACAGCTGACTGGACCAGGAATGCAGGCCCTAGGCAGCAACCCATATCATGGGTTGGCAAAAAGGTGAGGCGTGTCAGCCACATTCTTCCTTTCAGGAATCTGATGCAGGAAATACTAACAGAGGAAATGTTAGTGGTGGGGGTTAGAGCTGAAAGGATCCATGAGTGAGCTGAAATTCTGATAGTCAGGGGCCAGCCAAAGTTAAGGGGAGCAGACAGCACAACTGAAAAGAAACAATGAAGAGGAGAAAAGGCCTGCAGGGCAGAGAAAAGCAGAGTTGCTAAGAGCAGGTGATGCTCTTAGCAGGACTGGGAGAGCATTTACACTCTGGATGGCTTTTCACTTCCAGGCCACATGAAACATTCCATCAAACCTCCTTTTCTTAAGGTAATGCAAATACTTGTCTGTTAATTGAAACCAAGAAAAAATTTTCCTAAATAGTAGGTGAGCCAGCCAAGTGTGTATATATAGTGAGCTTTTGTATAGGAGAATATTCTCCCTTCTAATAAGAATTTGTTTCAAAGGATGTGGGCCAAAGTTGTCAGTGAGTGTCTTAGAAACAAACGGTGGGGAGGGAAAATAGCTGTCCTTCTCCATAATGTGGCAGTGGAGGGAACCGTAGAGTAAGCGTCAGAGAATGAGCCCCCATCAGGTGAAGGTGGGACTTAGGGCTTTCACTGGGAGAATCCGTGGCTCTGCAAACATGCCAATCAATGGCTGTGTCCACACAGAGCTAAGGTATAACATTTCTACTGAGACCTATAGACTCTTAGGTCTATATTTGAGATTTAGAATACACTGACAGGATGGGAGCACTAGCTCCTCCAGGTCTAGGAGTACTTTCTTGGCTAGCTATCATAGGTTGTTATTCAGTAGGTAAAGGAAACACTCATCAGTCACTGGATTCTGAACACCAAGAGTAGCTCAACAGGTATACTCCTCTACCTACTTTTCTGTCCTCCACGTTAGGGAATTACATACAAGGCTAAATAGTACGAGTCTGAATCTTAAGCTGAACACGAGTCCTTATTTTCAGTGAGGTATTTTATATGTGCATGGCACATTCAATACTTATTAGAAGCATATGTCTAGATGAATTTGAGAGGCTTCAAAGGCTGCATTCAAACGAACACTTAAAGATGGCAGATTGAAAGTTTGTGGATCAGACTCTTTCTCTTTCTCTTTCTATAGGAAATGAAGACATTCCAGAATCAAAAGCCACCAGCTGCTGCAGGTGTGGAAATGAAAGCTGCAGAGAGGTTGTGGCCTCGGCCCTGTGTGGTTGTGGCACATGATGCTGAACTGATGCTGTGCCCACCACCTAGCAGACCACCCAGTGGACAGGGCAAGGCTCTCATCCACCCAGTGCAGACCAACTCTGCACCGCATGAACTTACCAGGAGTAGGTCTTTGCCTTGTTCATCAATATCTGTTACGAACTTCTCAATTGGTTGAGGAGATTTTGAGTGAAAAGCCTGTCTGGGAAGGGCGACATCTCTGGGCCAGTCTTCTTCTCCTGGGAGTCCAATTACACTACAAAAGAACCACATGTGAACATAAGCATTAGATGCTATGCTGAAGCTGTTTTCCTACCAAATTCTAGATGATGGTACAGTCTAAGAGGCAAGTATGGGGGACACAGAGTCCAGGAGGCCCTCAGTTATATTACTGGCGGGATTCTCATCTCTTTCTGTCCTATTGCAGTATGGTGATCACAGGGTGATCTCAGGGGAGAATTGTATAATTCACTGGGAAGAGATAAAAGATTACTCTGGTAGCAGATACCAAATTATAGGATGATGCAGAAATGGAAATTATTATATTACCAGTAAGTCCTGATGTACTGACAGAGTAGAACCTATATGTTCAAAGGAGGCTCATAAGAGCATATAATATTTCCTTTACACCTGAGAATGCTTTTTGTATTCTGATCAAACACTCATACTGACATGCTTTATGATGCTCATCTAACATGATTAACACATAAATTTGGTTGCACTTTTGGTTAAAGAATAATTCTCCAAACAGTAATTATATACACTAGAATCAGACCAAAAAGAGGCTAAAAAGTATGTTAATCTTGTGCAACTATCAGGCACATGCTATTTTATAATTTAATTAATTTAATTGAATTAAATTTAGCTTATATATATTTTATATTACCAAACTATTTTATGGTATTCCAGAGTAAACAATAACGAAAGACAGTATCATTTATGTTTCTGCTGAAAATCATTCTGGAATCAGAAACATGGAGAGTGGATCCAATGATATAGAAACAGCATAGATATTGTGTGTCAACTATACTCAAATACAAAAAATAAATTAAAAAAAACAGCACAGGCTTTAGAAAAGGTAGACCTAGGTTCAATTCTGCATCTACCACTTATTGCTAGGTAAGGACAAATTAGTTAGCTTCTTTCTTAGTGTCTTTCTTTACTGACATCGACAATTTAGGGGTGCCTGTGTGGCTCAGTTGGTTTACCGTCCGAGTCTTGATTCCGGCTCAGGTCATTATCTCCTGGTTGTGATACTGAGCCCTGCATCAGGCTTTGTACTAAGTGTGAAGCCTACTTAGGATTCTCTCTCTCCCTCTGCTCCTGCCCTGCTCAAGCACGCATGCTCTCTCTCTCTCTCTCTCTCTCAAAATAAACAAATAAAAGAAAAAAAATGATAATTTACAGCAATAATTTATATAAAGTGCATAGCACAGTGCCTGATAAACAGTACTTGTCAATATCAATACATTACCCATTATTATTATCATGAGAAGAAAATAATGCTATTAATCTAAAATGTGTGGGCAATGCATTGCTATCACGCTAAAAATATGAACTGCTTGAGTCCTACTGATATGTGACTTGAGGTTCTTCAGAAATATTGTCAGTGGCCTTATGCAACTTATACACTATAGAGATGTTATTTAAAGTTTATGTATAGATAGTAAGTAGGTTTGAAAAAGGGAAGTTAAGGGACGCAAGAAATTACATCTCACTTACAGACTCTGATTAACTCCGAACTAAAAGTTATAATTTAGTGGACAGAATATATAGCTTTCAAATTGACCAAACAATTTTTTTTTAAGATTTTATCTTTAAGTAATCTCTACACCCAACGTGGGTTCAAACTTACAACCCTGAGATCAAGAGGCACATGCTCTACTGACCGAGCCAGCCAGGTGCCCCATGACCAAATTACTTTAACTACAGTTAGAGATGGTGCTGGCCTGGGACTGAGGTCCTGAGATATGTTCTCCTGATTGGGTTTCCCAGGTTTTAGGAAGATGTGGTGGTGAAAATCACAGGCTCTCTGTAAGGCTTTGTTCCTCCTTCCCTTATTTCAGCAGAGCCCAGATCACAGACCTCACCTGGGAAGAGCAAATACCCATACCATAATTGCACCTGTTACTGGGTGTCCGGGGAAAGACACTGTATGCCTGTATCTGTTGGACATGCTGGGAAAGCCATGTTGTTGAGGCAAATAAAGACAGATTCTTGGACATATTTACCAGAACAAATGAATGGAAATGACTTGGGCAACATACAAATTTGCTTAATAGCAAGATCTAGAATAAGAGCAAAGAGAAAAAAGATATCACTATTGATTATTAAAGGACATCAATGTGTGTGTTTGGATAGAATGGAATAGGCAGAGGAAGAAAAAAGAATACTTATTAAAAACTTTAAAAATTTTCTTCCTTTTATTTTCAGCTTTTTAGCCATTTGTGTATCATTTTTTTGCATATCATCACCAATCATCTAGAAATCAGTTATAATAAATCTTAGTAACAATTTAAAATCTTTTTATTTGCAGCTTTGAATATACTTATGTCGAAATAAATCTGGCGATATGGGCAGCTGACTGCCAAAAGCCCTTAAAGAAACAGCGTCTCTGTATGTAAGTGTATATGTGGTGTATAATTACATGTATATATACATAGCTACCTATATAAATAACTTTCAAAAGTATTTTTAAATCTATCACCTCCTCTGATCTCATAACGATCTTCTGAGACATGTAGGTCAGTTATTACTTCCTTTTTATAGATGTGGAAACTAAGGACAGGAGTGAAATCAACTGCCAAAGTCACACACAGCGAGTTCAGCTCACTCGAGTGAACCCAGTTCTCCTTATTCCAAATCCAATATTTTGTTTCCATTTAACTATGACTCTGCTCCTAAAAATGCTCTAAAATGTCACGAGCTAAAAGCATTTAGTTTCACTTTCAAAGTACTTGTTGTTCTTTGAAAGTATAAATGTCTCCAAGTGCAGAAACATTTCTGCCCTTAAGAGAATGTGAATGTGGCTTTCCTCAAAAAAATTTTTTTTCAGTTTAATATCCAGTATGAACTTTTATGGCCCATATATGAGTGTTGTGAAATTCTGATAGGTCCATTAACAAGTGCTTGCATCAAGTTTCAGTATTTGGACAGCTGAATATAAGCCTTAAAAGTTGACATTTGTACTGGAAAGACTGACAGAGCACAAAACCTATAAATGGCAGTGGGGACAGAAATCATTTCTCAAGTACTTTAGAAATGACACTAGGGTGCAGCATTATCCCTTTTCTTTATGCCAAAGTAACAAACGCAGAGTAAACAGAACATAATTTCAGTGAAACAATGCCAGAAACCAAGAAGTAATATCTGAAGGCACAATATATATAGAACTTTATGGCTTCTTTTTTGCTGGCAACCTAGGGTCTCAGGCCTTTGCCAAAAGTGGAACTGGCTTTCCACTGGAAGCAAGTCAAACATGGTTGTCAAAGGTTCTTTCCGGTCCATCTCAGTGGCTTCAGATACTAAGGGGCACTAATAGTGCTAACAAGTTTGCAGACCCCGGGGCTGGAGAGAACGCCCCGGTAGTGTCAGTAAGGGAAACGTGGTGACAGGTTTCAATGTCTGGCAAGCTGGCTTTGGTCAAGATCATTTTTCCTTTAAACAGAGTCACTGGTAGGTCTGACTTTCACAGTTCCTGCTTCAAGTTCCCACTGCACTGCACACAAAATACACAGTAAGGGGGAAGAATAGATGGACGGCTTATCACTGTATGATCAGAGAAGCTGACATTCAGAAGGAGGAAGAACATGAGTTTTGTCCTGAATCTGTCTACCTTATGGAGTGACAGTAATAGCAGTAATAGTCACTGTCTATGCCTAGTAGTAGTAGGAGGTGGCTGGGGGGGGGGGGGGGG